ACCTGCCAGATATCCGAAACTCAAGTTCACGTTCTCTAAAATCAAAGAACAGAGGATCCAGGCGTGATGGTGCACACCCCTGTAATCCCAACACTTGGGAGGCTGAAGCAGGAGGATCACTATGAGTTCGAGGCCAGCCTGGGATACACAGTGAGTTCCAGGGCAGTCTGAACTACATAGTGAGACCCTGTCTCAAAAAAACAAACAAACAAATAAATAAATAATAAATAAAATCAAAGAACAAAGGTTAAGAGCAGAATTTATTTAGAGAAAAATAGTTTCTGCCTAAGAGAGACAGAAGGGGGATGGAAACGGGTTGGCCCAGAATAGTGGTATTGATATAGGGAAAAATAACACCCAACCTGATAAATGTCAGATGTGCCAAGTTCATGTTCCCTGATATTGAAGAATGAATTCCAAAGGATAAAGGAGGTTAAGAATAGGGAAGATTTTTTGAGCAATAACTCCTGAGAAACAAAAGGAATCCAGACAAGAGGGGTCTTATATTGGGTTGCCACCAATATAAGATGAATGCCTTGATATGGCTGTCGCCATTTTGGTTAGTAACTGCCATTTTATACCTTAAATTTTCATTTCCTACATCACGCATCATCGTAAGGGAAACCAATGCGTGAACAAGGCTTGTCCATATAAGGAATGGATCACAAATATGACCCCTGAGTGGCTGCCCACACAGCTGATGCAATCCCCCTACCCGCTTACACCAGCCACCCTCTATATAACTAAGCCCCTTCCACCCAGCTCTCTCTCTCCTCTTCCTCCTTCGCCAAGTAGGCCACTGTGCCGCAGCAGCCCTACAATAAATCTCTCGTACGAGCTCTGTTGGTGTGTGGAGTGATCTTTGGCAGGTGCCGGGTTCTTTCAACCAAGGCCCTTTTGCAGGGGTTATTTATTTATTTCTTTTTGGTACCAGGGATCGAACTCAAGCCCTTGCACTTGTGAGACAGGGGGCGGAACCACTGAGCCAAATCCCTGGCCCCTTTCAGGGATAATTTATATAGCAAAGTCACGGCATGAGTCAAACTGCCATCAAAACCTGTAGGATTACAAGTATAGCCACTTCGCTAGTATTCATCCAATACAGAAGCAGAACACATAGCAAGGGTACATGGAAAGAACAAAGGCATTTGGGAAAAGGGATGGGCCTGGATGCTCTATTTAGGAATCCAACCACCAGCATTCTGGTCTAGGCAGAGACCGCTTTAAATTCCTTCCCCCTGCTATGCTTTTACACCTGTTGTAGATTTGTAGGCATGGGCCAATAAGGCCCAATAATCACTGTGTAAGCCCAGCTACACCCTACCATTCCCAATCACTATGCAGGCCTGTTCTTGACACACACGACACAAATCCTTGTACATGTTTCTTTATGCTTATGACCCTATAAAAACCTTGGAGCCTGTATGAGAGTTACTACTGGTCTGGTCTCCAGAGAGGTCCCTCTCAGGTTTGTTCTAAAACAAATCTGTCCTGTTGAGCTTGTACCCCTGCTTCTTTTCCTTTTTGTCCTAACACGCTGGTCACCCACCTGGGTGACTGATGGCTGTACGGACTTTACTGGACCAGGTGATACTAATTAGAGTATAATTCCAAGTTACTGTCTATCCCTTAGGGACACACAAAGGCCTGATCATCCCATCTTTACTTTGAGGCCCAGTCTTTGACAGGCGTGCCTCCAGCCCACGATTGTAATGCCTTATTTTTCTCCTGACTTCCTTGACAGCTCAGTCCCTCCCTGACTGTGTATTAACGTCTAGCTAATTTAGCTGCTTGTAATATTATTGGTAACAGGACTGAACAGCGATCTGAATTGACATCACTAGCAGGGCTTGTCACATCTCTTGTACACCATGCCCCACCACTCCTCTGCTGGAACAAGGCAACCGCTGAGATTATGAAGTCTTGGCATCGGTAAGAAATTAAAGAGGCAAAGCTTAAAAATAAAAGAAAGAATTTATTTGGGAAAGGGTGGAAAAAAGAAGATAAACAGCTACTCTGGAAGAGTAAGTGGCATTAGAAGCAAATACCCGTGGATTGGTTTGTTTGTTTGTTTGTTTGTCCTCAGCTCCTTTTTATTTAGGACTATTGATTTCTTCCATTCCTCACGTGGGCGCTTGGAACCTGTCACCATCTGACTGGCTCTCTGTCTGTCTTTGATCCTAACCTGGGTACCTCCGTCTACATCCTTCCTGGCTGATTTGATTCCTTCCTGCCCTTTTGTGACTGATCAGTAGGAGGAAAGTGGGAGACTCATAGAAAGGCAGTTTAGAGTTAGTGGAATCACTGAGCTAAATCCCCCATCCAATGAGAACCTATTTTATCCTTTTTCCTGGGCTGATAATGATATGAGTCACTAGATACAGCTGTGCTGGGAGGAGGGTTTGACTGCGGCTGGTATCCTCAGACTGAGCAGAGCCCTGAAATGTAGCGAACCTGGGGAGAGCAGAGAGGGCAGTTAATACCCACATCGCCACAGCTGGCGATCGGGTGGGGTTGAGGGAGACAAGATGGAGGGTAGGTGCATGCCAGAGGGAGGTGGGAGCCCCTGGCAGGGGCTACAGAGTTGCCTTGGTGGTAACTAACAGGCCACTGGATCCAGCCTTCACTTGGTGCACACTGGGGTGCAGTCAGCAGGGCAGCCTGTAGGGGGCAACCGCGGCTGCCTAATGGGGAGCAGCGGCAAGGAGAAGGCTGAGGCGGGTGTCTATGGGCAGAGGGTGGCTTGTGGCAGGTTGTGACTGGACCCAGGACAACACCATCCTGGGACTCCAACCCGAGCTCCCCTTCTGCAGTGGGCTCAGGCCTCTGCAGTTCCCACAGGGCTTTGTTACTCCTTTATTCCTTCCTTTTCTGGGTACCTCACATCTAGTAACTTCCCAGAAAAGACATGAAAAATCAATTTCCTGGGCCTTTGTATATAGGAAAGCATCTTTACTCTTTGCTCCTGGTCTGTTCACATGATCTGGATGCACAATTTTAAGTAATCATCCTTGCTTAGAAGGTGTAAGGTTTGCTTTTCTGTCTTTGGCACCTGTGTCACTGTGTGGCCACTGTGTGATCCTCTGGAGACGGTCTTGGTCCTTTCCAGTGGTTTTCTGATGTTTGCCAAGGTGACCCTTGGGATCAGTGGCTCGTTCTCTGCCGTAGTATACCCTGAGCTCACACAGAATTGGAATCAGTGGTTGCCCTTGTGGGAGACATCTCTTTTTTTTTTTTTTTTTTTTTGGTACTGGGGATTGAACTCATGACTTGTGCTTGTGAGGCAGACACACTGCCACTGAGCTAAATCCCCAGCCCTTATCTTTGTGGGTTATCTTATTATTATAAACTGGAGGCTTCAAACGACGGAAGGTTTTCCTGTCACAGCTGTGGCGGCCACAAGTCTCAACCGAAGGTGTCAGGCTCCCTCCAGAGGCTCAGGGATGAACCTTTGTCTCTTCCAGCTTCAGGGCTCCAGGTGCTTCTGTGGCCTCCATGCTCTTCTGCCGCTGTCTTCAAGTGGCTGTCACCTGGGCCCTCTCGGTCTCCTGTGAGGATACTGGCCACTGTGAGGACAGGGCCCACTCTGATATCCAGGATAACCTCATCTCAGGATCTGCAAAGACCTTCTTTCCACATAAGGTCACATTCAGAACTTGGACATGACTTTTCAGGAGGTTCACTTGTTACGGCTTATAACTAGATGTCCCCCAAAGCCTCATGCCTCACAAGTGGAGCTTTTGAGAGTGACTGGATTGTGGGCATGTGACACTAAATCGGTCCACTGTGGGTTAGCATAGTTCTGGGTATGGATATTGGACTTACTGAAGAGGGAAGAACCACCCCAGTGGCAACAACCCTGGGTTTGTAGCCTGGATGGAATAAAAACTGGAAAGGAAGCTGTGCTGCCCCCTGCCTGTCAAACTATGAACTGTTTCTCTACCATGCTGCCCTGGGGTGGAACCAGCCTACTATGGACTGAAACCTCTATAAACTGTGAGCTAAAAATAAAACTTTCCTCCTTTAACTTGTGAGTTTTGAGGGGTTTTTTTTGTTTTTTGTTTTGTTCTGTTTTGTTTGTTTTTGAGACAGGGTCTCACTATGTAGTTGAGACTGATCTGGAACTCACTATGTAGCCCAGGCTGGGCTCGAACTCACAGCAATCCTCCTGCCTCAGCCTCCCAAGTGCTGGGATTACAGGCATGCACCACTACGCCCAGTGAGTTTTGAGTATTTTGACCAAGAAACTAAGATATCATGCAACCCACTACACAGCCTGTATCCAAAATAAGTTAGGACAAGACAGATAGGTTTTTCTGATTTATTGCATGATGTGCACATGTATTGAAATAGCACATAACCCCACTGCTATGTACAATTTTTATGGATTTTTGCATCTCAATTTAAAAATTATTGACTTATGCCTGTAGCCCCAGCTACTCAACAGACTAAAGCATGGGGATCAGTTGAGCTCAGGAGTTTGGGGCCAGCCTGGGCAAGAACTCCCACTTCAGAAACAAACAAACAAACAAAACCAGTACATAAATAACATTTAATTAAAGCTATCTAATCCTAGGGGGAAAAAATGAGTCAAGGTGACTCCAATCATGTTTCAGTTCATCTTCCAAGGAAGAGAGACAGGGCCTCACAGAATGTGACTATGCATGGTTAGGATGCTGGACACAAGGGCAGTTCTGGCTCCAGTGACTCCTGGGCCCCAGTCAGGTCCTCTGTCCTGCTTTTACCTCTTAGTGGGAACATGAGTCCATATGCTCCTGTTAAACCCATTAGCTCCTATCTGCCTCTGAGCCAACTTGACAAGGCCTTGGACATAGTAGAATGCTTTTCCAAAGAAAATGTGTTCCTTTTTATGCCTGTTTCCTTGGGAACCTTGGACTGAGGCTTGAAGGCAGATGCGTTTCCTTAAGGTGGCAGGAAGTTCCTGACACCCAGCCAGGACTGAAGACGGAAAACCACTCAACTGGGGAGCTGTGGGGGATGTGGCCATCACATGAGGCCGACATCACCTCCTACACCCATCCGGCAGAGAGGCTGGGGCCCTTCGTCTCTCAGCATGGGTTGCCCTGGAAGAAGGACCCTACCTCTTCTCTTTGTTTGTGTACCCGTATATCTATATGGGGTTTCGTTGCAGGAAGCCCACCCAATAGGGCAAAGAAAACCATTTTTTGAGAGGCTCCGTAGACTGGAAGAGCAGGTAAGTGTACCACACTTGTGCAGATGAAGGATGGATGTTACAGACACAGAGTTGTAGGTGTTGGTGTTTGGACCTGATCACAAGCTTGTGGTCCTTGCTGGCAGATAATAGTGTTTCCACCTATAGTTGGAAACTAAGGAAGTGCTTGCTGGGTCACATCTGAAATCAAGCCAGCTGATGTGTGGATGGGGGCATAGGGGACTTGATGAGCCTCTCAGAGCCCAAGGAGCAAAACTGGAGGGATGTAGGAGTCCGATGGTACTGGGCAATGTCACTGGGTGTGGGAGCTGTAGGATCATAAATTCACCTGGAAACAGATGCTGTGGGTGTTCCCGAAACTCCGACAAGGAGTCGGTAGACTATTCCCAGCTTCAAGCACTTCTGCTTTGGTTCTGGGAAAGCGTTCACACAGCTCATCCCATCGGCTCCTCTACTCAGAGATGACCTTGAGGGCCACAGCAGTGAATCAACTGTATACAGTCATCCAGAGCAGGGGTTTGAAGGAAGGCAGGAGCCTGGGCTCTGGGACTGGGGTCCACACCCCACACTGCACTGCTGTGGACCCAGGGGTCAGGCACCCCTTGTATGGTCCACCTCATGGGACTGTTCACAGTAACTGACCTTCATCTCCTGGCATTGTGGCATAGATCAAATTGGTTGATCAATATTCAGTCCCAGCCAGCTGTAATCCTAGCACTCTGGGAAACTGAGGCAGGAGGATTGCAAGTTTGAGCTCCACAGGGCAATTTGGCAACTTATCAAGACCCTGTCTCGAAATGAAATATAAAAAAGGGGCTGGATAATCCCAGGCTTGGTGGCGCACGCCTGTAAATCCCAGCACTCCGGAGGCTGAGGAAGGAAGATCATGGCAAGTTCGAGGTCAGCCTGGGCTGCCCAGTGAGTTCAAGGCCAGCTTGAACTATATGGGGAAGCCTGTCTCTCATAAAGCTAAATAAATCAATACAGTGTGGCCATAAACCCTTAACACAATAGGGACTTTCTGAAAAGTAAACAAGAGAGCCTTGGCCTACTCACTGCTACTCCCTATAATCACTGTGTCCTTTTCACAGTTTCGAAGATTCCAGGAAGTCACCCTGACACACTTGCAGCGCATTGCAAACAATTACAATGTGTCCTACAATGTTGATGCCCGGTTCCAGAGGCTGACAGAAGAGAGCCGGGCTGTGGCTCTGGCAGTCAACAGGTCACAGGCTGCCATGCAGGTAGACCTGGCCCACCTAAAGACTCAGATGAGGAAGACCAAACGCCGAGGCCGGAAGGTGAACGCAAGGCTTCGGGCCTTGGATCTCACCCTGAGCAGGCAGCAGGCTTGGGAGGAGGAGAGGCAGAAGGCACCGCAGGATGCCGTCTCACGCCTGGCCCTGGATGTGCCTACTCTGCAGAATGCACTGGCCCGACTGGCCCACCAGGTCCGTAGCCAGAGCACCAGACTAGCTGCTCTTGAGGGACAGCTGCAGGTGGCCAACCCTGGCGCTCTAGCCCAGGGGCTGATCCTGGCCCCACACCAGCCAGATGTGAGCTCCCCGAAGCTGCATCAGGAAAGACAGGCACTGAGGCCTCCACCTGAACACAAAAATCTGTCCCAGGATTTTGCTGCCATTCTCCAGGGGACACAGAAGCCCCCATCCTTAAGCATCCACTGGGCATCTCCTGCAGTCCCAGGGGACCCTCCTCAGCTGGCATGGCCTCCCCAGGGACCAGGGAAAAGTAAGTGCCACAGGCGTGCCCTCCTCATCAATTTCCAGGTCTCCCCTGGCTCCTCCTAAGGCCACAAGGAGAGGACACTGGCTTCATGCTCCACATACCCTGTCCTAGAAGAGGGGATAGTCTGACCCTGTGTCATACAAGTGACACCTGAAAGGGATCCCCAGCAGGGGAAGTCACCCACATTCCCTACATAGCGGAAGGGCTTCTTCAGAGGTGGTTGAGTCTGGACTTTGAGATGGCAATAATCCTGGGTTACTGGATGGGTCCAAAGTAGTTTTGGGAGAGCCGGGCGTGGTGGCGCACGCCTGTAATCCCAGCACTCGGGAGGGCTGAGGCAGGAGGATCCTGTGAGTTCGAGACCAGCCTGGGCTACATAGTGAGTTCCAGGTTGGTCTCAACTACATAGTGAGACCCTGACTGAAA